GGATCGAGGAGAAGGAAACTTTACAGCTTGGGCCAAAAATCAGCCAAATAATTTCAGAGGAGAAGATTGTGTGCATGCACTTGGTGTGGAATACAGCTATGAATGGAATGACGTGCAGTGTAGTGATTGTCATCCATACACTTGTAAGAAAGGTAAAATATGGATCCTTGTGTTTAGCCGGGCCGAAGTCGTAAACAGTAGTAAATGTCTAAATATTACGATTTAAGGATGTATAAGTTGGCTTACAGATGTTCCTCAACGTTGCAATCTTTTGTGCTCTGCTAGAAGGTAAGCTTGAAGTAACTGCGAACGTTATAATTGGAAATAAAATAACCAGACGTTTATACCAATCAAATCAAAAATCAAGACTTTATTTATCCACGGGTCTACAATAAAATTCTCGATCGTGATTGGTTTTCCGCGCGCCTATTTGTCACGTAATAGGCGCGCGATCACGTGGGTGTCCAATTACAGGTATCCAATTTGAACTTTTTGTAATTGGATACCTGTAATTGGATACCCACGTGATTCGCAAGTCAATTATGTGCGCTTTAATGGCTACCTTTGCAATGTTTCCGACAGTTTTCAGAACTTATGAAAAGCGTTACAGACGTTTCCGCTCAAAGAAGTTCTCAAAAGACATTTCTAATTCCAAAATTTGTTATAGATACGATTAATTAGTAATAAGACCTCGTGTCATACAATTCAGGGAGTAATCGTGCTCGTGATTTCAAATCGGCCTCGCGCTTCGCGCTCGTCCGATTTTGAAACTACTCGCGCGATTACTCCCTGAATTGTACTCCACTCGGTCCAATTATTATTACTAATAGCTATAAGCGCAATTAAGCCTGCACTAAAAAAAAAGAAAAAATAATTAATACTTAGAGATACAGATATGAGAGCCCAGGATCAATTTGAAAATTTATCACAACTGTGCATGATTAAACATCAACAGACAAATAAACAACAACAAAAGCAAGGTTTATCTCTTTTTTTTACAATTTACACATACATGCTAGAAAATGGAGAAGTACAACAAACATAAATGCGCAGAAACAGAAACCATTGTATTATAAATTACATTACATTTTACTACAGGGAGTACACAGTCTCGTTGAGTGGGATGAAAGTAAATAAAGAAATGAGAAGAATGAACAGTTCACCTTTGTCTCCTGTTGTCATCTCTTACGCGAACTTACACGGAAAACCGCTACCTTCGTGTCCTGCAAAGCACTGTAGCGCTAAACTCGTACCTAGGCCTTTTCGCGCGGTGCAAACATTTTTCTGGTCTGTATATAATTTGATTATGTATAAACCAGAATAATTTCTACATAGCATGCCGGACAAGGCGTAGGCATGACTTTAGTGTTGCGTTCGTTTGACAATTGGGTAGCGGTATTTTTTTCTGTAAGGTCGCATAATGGATGAAAACAGAAGGCAAAGGTAAACTATGCATTCCGTTTATTCCTTTATTTGCTCTCATACTACTAAACAAGATTGTATGCTCCCTGTGATGAAAGTTAGTTCTATTTTGTAGCTAAAACTACAATTACTCAGTTTTGTTACGTTGCCTTAGATTTCACGAAATTAAAATTATGTTGTCTGTTCAACAGATCTAAATGAATGCGATAGAAAGACAAATGGTTGTCATCAGCATGCCAGTTGTACAAATAAACGAGGATCTTATTCGTGCGAGTGTAACCACGGTTTTATCGGAGATGGCTTCAAGTGCGGTCCCATCATAGCGGATTCCTGTTCTGCAAGGAGGAAATACGTCAGTGTAAGCGGAAATTACAAAATTGATCCAGATGGACCGGGAGGACTGGCACCGTTTACTGTTTACTGCGACATGAGTGACAAAAATGGCGTTGGCGTGACAGTCATCAGTCACAACAGTGAAGCCAGAACGCACGTATATACGGGAACTACAGACCGTGACATTCAGTACCCAGGAGCGAGTCTTTCTCAGCTGGCGAGTCTCACCAGAGTCTCCGCACACTGTGAACAGTTTATCAAGTACGAGTGCCTCAATTCTGTGATGAGTGTTGGGTCAACTGCCTGGTGGGTGTCACGCGACTCTACTAGGATGACGTACTGGGGTGGAGCATCGCCTGGCAGTGGTAAGTGCGCATGCGAGATGACCAACTCATGTGCAGACCCAAGTCGTGGTTGTAACTGTGATAAGAATGACAATGTATGGCGTGAAGACAGCGGTTTCCTGACTGATAAGACGAGGCTGCCAGTTACCAAGCTGAAGTTTGGAGATGTAGGCGGTATCGAGGAAGGCTATCATACATTAGGGAAACTGAAGTGCTATGGAGTGTCTAATAAATAAGACCAATGAAAAATTCACTATTACAAATGATTTAAAATCGTGTTATAATTTAATAAGCACCAAAGTAATAATAGGAAAAAAATAAGTGAAAGTGCCAGTACGATCAAACTTTTCGCTTCGCCTGTCTAAACCATTTTCTTGTTCGAGAAAGGACTTGTTCTTTACGACTGTAGTTCTCGCACGTTTTCAGCCTCCATTTTTAATACGTTCCTGAAACCCGGTAAGGCTTATGTTCTTCGGAATACGGATGAAAAATGGCTCAAATTTGTACGGTTAACGATTTACGAATCTGGTAGGCTGGGCATTTGAATGGATTCCTAAGGAACGAAATCAATTTCTTTTATATAAGAGTTGTTTCTGCTATATAATCATAACAATGTTATTTCAGGTCGAAACAAAATAATCTAGACTTAACTTGAAAAACAGAAAATTGACTTTGCAATATGTACATTCTCTTTTCACAGTGGCAGTGTGAGCTGATTGTGTAAGTTTATCAGTTTGTCTCGTAACGGTATTGCTTTGGCTTCAGGGGTGGATTACGTACATTGTGGTGATACAGACATCCATTTAAAGTAAAGTTGGTAATTTGTATTGAAAATATGGTCTAGCACGGAAAGATAAACTGGTGAACATCACAGCATAAAAGGAAATTAAAATGTACCACAATTTACAGTTTTGAAGAGTGAAATGATTCTAGAATTCTATGCTAGAGTGAAACGAGGTAGTATAGTGTAAACATGGAGATTATTCCTTTTCCGTGTTAAATTGTAAACATGGTGGTACAATTTCCGATCCAATTCAGTTCCGTGTACCTAAATGTGGCCTAATGCACCATTTCAGCTGTTAACTCGCACGATGATAGGGATTAACGCTTGGATTGCTTGACTATATGCATGGTGCAACCAAGGTAAGGCATATTTTAGTGGAATGGTACCCTCAATTATCTTTAATGTCATGTTGTTACACAGGTATCTCCTTACCAAAGCAACACTTGATTCTGAAATTTTCAGAATATGTTTAACATACATAGAACTGTGATATGAACCTAAAACTTCAACAGCCTAGGCCTTTTTGCCCTTAATTTACAATGTGAAAGGGAGTGGAATTAATTCATGACCACGCCTATTAACAAGATTGGCCAAAAAAATGTGTGACAAAGATAAGGGCATGACTAAAATTAGTTTCATATCACAGAAGCACTATTGATCAAAGTCCATAGCAAAAATGAATGTCTTATGTTAAATACATTTCCAAGGAGAAGTGTTGAGCCGAAGTGTCTACAGTCAAGTTCTAACACTTGAGAAAAAGAGAGCTAAAGTCACAAGCAATACCATAACTGTGAACTGCAGTTTAACACTAAAACTGTCCTGGAGCATAAGTAACTCCTTCTGTACGCTGATTTTTATCTTTCTTTTTCTTTTTATTTCCTCTCACTCGACGACATCTCCGTTTTTGATCACTTTATTCAGTAAATTTTGTTTTAGCAAAATTTCCGTGTATCTTGTTTAGTACACAATGTACGTTTGTTGTATTAATAAGTACCCTAGGGCCGCTTATGTTTGTTGCAATAAACTATGCCAAGGCTGTTCATGTCTAATCAATAAACGAGATGCCCCCTCCTATACGACTGGTGTTTTCTTGCTTGTACTAAGTTAGACATTATTTTGTTTTCGTTTCACTGCAAAATGATTAATATTAGACAACAAACAAGCTTTCCGATTCAGGCTTTCATGGAAAAGCTACCCCGGTTCATATATGCTAGGACAGAATGTCCCAATCTACAATGGTGCCGATTTCAGTCAGAAAAACCGTAGTTAATTTTCTTTTGTTTTCGGCCGTTATCGTCAATAAACGATCTGTAAAGAAAGCGGTTGCCTATAGCAACCAAATAGTGTGTCTTACAAATGTGCTTAAATAGTAGTAAAGGTTTATTATGTTTGCAAAAAAGTATCTTTCATAATGATCAAAGATAATTAAAGGAATGAAAACTAACTAAAAAAGTTTTTTCACAGTGGGTTTCACCAAATTTGAGGAAAATTGGGATACCATTCCACCTTTTCTTTTCTATCTACTCAGCTTGTTATTTCGTTTTCTTACTTTTCTCTTCTAGTCTTTGCCTAATGATGCTATTTGCTTTTATGCTGTTAATGCTTTGGATTTTTTGTAAATCTGGCAAAATAAAATGGTTGGTTGTTGTTATCCTGATAATACATCTAAAAAGCCTACGGAAAGAAGTAAATAACGTAATAATTGCCCCAGTCTTCTCGTGCAGCATATTCAAAAATTTAGGTCTCCCCAAATTTCCAGACATCAGTAATTACAGTGAAACCTCTATTGAGCGGACCCCCAATTAAGCGGACACCCTCTATTAAGCGGATACTTAGCCTGGTCCCGAAGTTAACGTCTTATATTTCCCTTTATAATGAACCCCTATTCAGCGGATACCTCTATTAAGCGGACGCGGAAACTAAAATAAATTGTATTTGGCTAATTTCTATTGTTTTAAACCTCTGTTAAGCGGAGAGCGAACTGAATTAACAGTGTGACATTGGATTACGTCCTTGAAATAGTCGATTAAATAGTCGATCTGATAATGTACCCGTATTATCGTTGCTGTATTGAAAGGGCATTATTACAAACAAGCTTCGTTAACGACCTGGAACTTTATTACAGTACAGAGGAACATACATACATACATACATTCTTTATTCAAGACGCAAAGTTACAAAAGTATACATATAAAAACAAAAGATAAAAAAAGAAAAGGCGTCTCAAAAAGGAAGTTATGAGGTAAACCCTATGTAAAAACTCCCTAAAATAATACGAGAAATACAGAAAATATATGAAAACAAGGATCCTTAATCAACGGATCCTTAATCAAGGATCCTTAATCAACGGAACCGTTGAATGTTAATTGTTAACAAACATTGCGCAATTGTTCTCAACCTTTATGAAGCGGACACCCCCTATAAGCGGACACTTGGGAAGGTCCCGAGGGTGTCCGTTTAATAGAGGTTTCAATTCACTGTATTCCGAAAACGAATTACTACTTCTTTGTGAAATAACTCCTTGTTCAGTGGTCAGTTTTTAGGTAGTAACCCACACCGTTCTTCACTCGGCAGCAATACTGCCTGCTGAAAATTGCTTTCTATAAGCTAACTCCCCTAACCTGCAGCTAAACAAGGAAATAATAGCCTTTCATTAGGCAACCCCTGCTAGCCATAAAGTTTTCAACAGACTTTTGGAAACGAATGCAATTGTTACCACGTGCATTTCCGTGGATGTTTTTGTGAAGGATTAAAATGCGAATAAAGTCGCTTGGGCTGAGTAACATTCCCGTCACAGGATTTAATTAAATGGATTTCATTTGTTAACGTTTTTAAAAACTGATAAGTAAGACTAATTTAACGACGGGAAAGATCTCCTGACCCCGTAATTTTAGACGGTTATTAAAACCCTCATTGCGCATGCAATAGCTGTCTCTTTATCAGCGAAACAAAATATTAGCCGAGCGATTAGAATCACTAACGTTTTAAACGCGATTTGTAAATTTAGGTGTTTCCAGCTGTAGGAATTTCTTTTTTCCAAAACAAACTACCACTGCACCACACAAAATATTAAACCACTTCACTGTGGGTACTTCATCGGTACTTAATCACACTTACACTGGCTCGGCGTAATCAAAACAAAAGCAATGCAATTGACTTTCTGCCCAGCATGGAAAACATTGATTGGTCGAGTTATGGATGAACTTGGGAATTTTTGGAGAGCACTCAAGGAGCTAGAATTACCCTCAACTACGCCTCGAGCTACTGTTACGGTTCTCTCGTGCTCTCTAAACTTCCTGCGTGCATCCATAGCTCGATACACGCACGCTTAACGTAAACTAATTCTTAAATTCTCCGCGGTGTGTTACAAACAGGGCTATACACATCCACTATTTTTGCTAAGAGCCCGAAGGATTTCAGAGGTGACCAAGTGGTAGATGCTACACGTGTACAATTATGCAACGAATACACATTGACCATCTGAGTCACGAGTTCTGATCTCCAATCTCAAACCGTCTAGGGGGCAGAATAACATCTTCCTCGGTACAGAATGGAAACTGTGATGAAAGAATTGCTCTCGATCTGGTTAGGAGCCGATCAAACCACTCCCCAGAAATCCGATCAATGTCTTTTCTCTTGTCCATTACCCTGTCGAAGAATAGTACATGATCATATCTGGCTGGGTATCATTATTTAAAAGCAAACCCGAGGTAATGTCACTACATGTAGACAATCCAGAGTGTTTTTGTCTGCAAACCTCTGAAACTTGAATAGTATGCTATCTTTGTGAGGCTGAGTACCCCGCTATAGTTACAGTATAGGCTTGCATGATTACTGCTAGCGGAATCTCAAGCATAATCCTTTGCCTTAAATCAGATCGTCTGGAAATGCTTTGTTACAAGTAAAGTACATGAGTGCATCAGCATTGCTACATTGAATATAAAATAAATATTTAATACATTGGGCTGATCAGGTTTTTCGATATCAGAAAAATGCACCACTTCTATAAAAGTGTAGTCGTCAGGCTAGTGGACTTAAAACGATAGTTCTCTATTATTAAAATAAACCTTGTTAATCGTAATCAGTCCAACTGCCAACTACAAAAGAGTTCTTAAAATATTAGCCCATTTTGGTTTTTACTAAATGCGGTCTAAGTTGCCAAAGTCTTGACGGTCAGTTGACATAAGGTAAGTGATATTTTCTTAGGATTTTACCAGTTTCCCTCGGCCGCAAAAACGAGGTCCGCTTCAGCATTCATCCAAGCCTTGCTAGGTTTATTAATCTTTTAAGTTCAATTCGTCTTCGACTGTGCGATGAATTGCGTTATAACTATGTTCAGGACTTCGGCACAGCCTGAGTTCTTTAGAGTGAGATTAACCTGATGACCTACAAATCACACGTACCAGCCAATGCAACTTTTGTAGTATAATTCATTCTTACATTCCTCAATTCTGAAACCTCCAGTACTAATTGCTCCAAAACGTAGGGTAAAAAGTTGTTTATAGATAAGTTCTTTAGCTTTCTAGAAGCGTGAATAGTCATTTTAATTTCTCACGTTTTGTCTAGGATAAATGTTAATTTCCAGGACATTACGTGGTGTCAAAAACGGAAAAATATTGTCTTACTTGGATTTTGAAACTTCTTTTTCAAATACTTTTGTGTTTCGAGACATGCTGTCTCTTCCTTGACACTGATCCTTTTAGTTTTACGAAATAATATCTTTAAATTGTAAAACTCCTCAAAGTATGCAATTAGTTAGCTTCGGTAAATTTGGATTTGATTATTTTAGACGTCGAAAATCCTTTCACGAACTGAATTGTGTCAAACAGGGCGTTGTCTTCTGTTTACAGTTTTCCTCCATCCATAATTACTGCTGGTAAAAGATGACCAGCAACTCTGATAGATTATAGGTATCGAGCAATATTTGTAAAATAATTAGGATTGTTAGAAGCAGCTCTGACGTGCAAAAATTATTTAGCAACCTGAACGAGGTCCTGAACAATGTATGAAGGACTTTCATCAGTTGGATTAGAAATTTAAGCGTGTCAATTAAGACTCAAAGTCCAATCAGTTAGCAGTGATTGCACAACTAAGAATTTATAAGAAAGATGGAGGATGTGAATAATTATGCTAAAAGAAAAAGTGGAAACAGAGACAGAGAAGAAGTAGCTATTGAAGAGAGAATAAATGAAGAAAACTTTGGGGTGATTAATCAGTGTTCAGCCTCGATAGTTTTGCGTTGTATTGTCATTTTCCCTCCCGATCATGCATTGCCTGACTTTTTCAAAGTTATTTTAACCTGACCTGTTAAAATCCGGCTGAAAACAATGCTTTCTCTCTCTTGAAGCAACGTAATATTCCTGATTACGTATGATACCAGTTTGAAGAGTATAAATTAAGACTCTGGCAGATTAGACGCAAAGAATCTTCCAGACATCGACAAGATGCGTTTGGGAATGTGTCCTCCACCTTCGCCGTCCATTTTGCTGTTTTTGGCAATTCTCGGAAATATCACTTTAGCGGTGAAAGGTAAGTCTACTATCAATTATCCTCCTTCTGGGAAAAAAGAACTCTTTTTAATTAATTAAACTTTGACTCTTATATCGGAAGAGGACTCCATCGGTTTCGTTTCTTCAAAATTATTCCATTGTTCCGAAATCTTTCTTCGATATCTTTCATGACAGAAACGGCAGGTTTTGTTTCAAGACGTACTTCGTTTATAATTTACCGCAATAATTCTAGCTCTACACCTATCATACCTGCTTCAGTTAGCGCTTTCTTCAGTACTTTTGAGGGTAATGAAATGTCCATATTGTTCAATGCAAGAAGCTTAATGTACTTCAAAGACATGCATGGACCAACATCTTGGTTCCGCGATCATAGAGGGAGCGTTGCATCTGTGTGCAAATTAGGTGTTAAATGTCATATTTCCGGGCAGATTTTGTTCATGTTGTTTCTCATCCTCAAAGGCGTATTTTCTGTGGTAAAAATATACGTCTTTTATCACCGACTTGTAAGAATGTCAAACAGCGACACGTCCCCTCTTACAGGAAAGTTGTTTTCTTTTTCTGCCAGTTGTGAATTGCAAGAAAAAATGGAACGTTACTTTAATTATGTTACTAACTCGGATATGTGGAAAATAAAATTGTGTGGTCCATTTTCTGTCAACGAATACCAACAAACTGAAAATACACTAGTTTTATTTGAGATGACAGATCTGTAAACGTACATGTAATGTTACAGGTCGATCTAAACCATTTTTAAAACTGTTTGTCTCTATTACCTTAAAATTACTATTGTCTGCACGAATTATGAAGGCATTAATCATTTTCAGAGGTCGCAAGCAATGCATCTCACTTCGTTTGACTATATTCCAAAGTTTGACTATCATCCCACCAGAAAACAGCAGGATTTGCAAAAAGACTGGACTTCAACTGTTTGAAAAGGTGGTCTAAACATGTGCTTTAGAGAGACTGGGCCCGTGGGGCGGGGCTGGAGTTAATTGCAAAATATTGTGCGTACCGTCTAAGGGTTTGGAAGTAATGAATCCCTTTAATCGTTTTCCCTCGTGCCTATCATGTTACAACTTCTTGAACGTGCAAGAAGTCATCTTTGGCATGAATAATAGAAAATTCCGTAAGATGACCTGGCTTGCTGTAAATTTTCGAGGGATTTGTTTTGATAGGTAAATATTTCAATGCTTAATGCGTATGCTCGCTAATTTTATGTAAAGAGAATAATTCACAAAGGTTTCCCATCACTGTAAACGTGCGTAAAAAAAGAAACAAAAAGCTATGAAGTAATCAAGAAAATAATAAGATAATAATAAGTGCAAAAAACCTACGCAAATCAGCGGGTAAAAATATTACTGATTCAGAAAGGCTAATGTGAAGGCGTCTACATTAGGCTGATGTATTACTGATAAAAGTCAGTAAGGAGTTCAATCGAATGTTTCAAAGTTCTAGTAAAAAAGCTGTACATATAGGTCTTACTGTTACTGCTGATATTGATAAAACGATTGCGATGCTGATGAGTATGTCTCAGCATGTCACACGACTTTGGATCGCATTGTGTCGATTATAATTTTTCCGTGAACCATTTTCAACATGATTTTTAAGCGAGCTAGTGTGTGTTTGCCAGTTCAGGCTGTTTAGCAGGTTAGAACTGTTCCAGGTTTACACACACAACAGCTCTGAAAGATACCTCCAGTTCTCCGCTGTGCTCCTTTGATGTATACGTCTCGAAAATGCTTTTGGTTATGAGGGTCCCAAACGCTTCAAGCGTACTCCAGACAGGGTCGAACAAGAAATATGAACGCTTAAATTTTAACACTCTCAGTACGTGAAATTGCTAAGGGAACGCTTGGCTTTCCCGATGTTTTTTTCGATGTGATAACTTCACTTTAAGCTGGAGGAGAATTCAACACGCACAGCTGTAGGTAGGGGTCATGAGACGCTGACTTAGAGGAATTCCATTCATCATGTTCTGGTATAAAAATAGATCTTTAAATCGATGAATTCTAACGATTTTGCACTTATCGCAATTAAAAGACATTCCATGCAGTTCCACAAACAAGACCACGCAACTAAACATTAAGGTCATCTTGTATGGTATCAGCATCTTCTTGCCTTCATACAAGTGCGCAGAGCAATGTTATCTTTTATAAAAAAGGACATTATGATAACTCTGATCACTAAATCCCTTTGAGCAGACGAAAAGGACGTTTACTTGCGTTTTGTTTTTTCTTTGGTTTTATTTGAAGTTTAATACTACCCAAGTAGCTTATCTTTTTGATTCGTGAATTGGGTCGCCATTAAGTAGGCTACGATTAGGCCAGAAGTTCATCCATACTGTTAGTTTTCATTATTACTGAAGTGCATGTAAGTCGCGTAGTGTGCAAACAGTAAACTAGTTAGTAAAACAAGCCTAATCTCAGGTGATTGCCGAGCTTAGCATGACAGGTGATTAGTAGGTAGGTTTGTAAAACTTTCCAAACTGGTGTCACGCCACAGATCGTGGAAAACTCTACGTGACTCATGCAGGGATTGTTTGTGACACTGAAAATGGCAGTGAGTTGTTTTATTGAAGTTTTATTGATCAAGAGAAAGCTCCAACTTGCTGACAGTGATATAACTTGTGAATCCGGCTGGCACTCGAAGGGATTTGATCCTGACCTCCAGTCAGTCACAAATCCACTTTTTCCGCGACAGTCCAATATGTTTTCAAGGTTGTTTTGGCGTTTATTTCTTGGTTGCGTCCATTTAGTCACATGCCTGTCGACTGTTTATAATTAGTCCACAGGAAAGAGTTCGAAAGCTGCAGGTTTTTACTCGGGCTTTCCCAAGGAAACGCCCGAGGCATAAATTCGGCTTCGTTTTTTTTTTTTTTTTTTTTTTTTTTTTTTGCGTTCAGTCACAAATCGCCGTCGAGGTTACGGCGTATGCGTAGAATCTGTATAGTGCACATGCGTAGTGTGCGCTACTGAAGCACATGGGCGAGTAATGGCGGATGGTGTTAAGGTCTCGTTGGTGACTGCGAATATTATGGAATATAAAACGTTCAAAACACATACAAACGCATACATTTCTCAAGGTAGACCCACATTAAAAGATGTTGAGCATTTTCGGAAGGGGTCGGTCCGCAGGATTTACGAGAGATCAATTTACGAGCGAACCTTTACGAGTGAACCTTTTATCGTGAACCATG